CCTGTATTTAAATTCGTCACTTGTTATAAAATTAATGTAGTTTAAGTTTTTAGCTTTTCTTTATTAATTACCTGTCACATATGCAGTAAAAAAATGATTAGGCCATAAATATAAAATTAAACTAAAAACATATTATCAAAGTACAGTTCCTTTTTGATTATTAAAAAAAAATATTAATAAAAAATCTTTTTTGAACTAGATTTATAAAAATAAAAAAAATGTATCAAAATTTAAAAAAAATTATAAAATTATCAAATATTATAGATACACGTAACAACACGTACAAATATTATAAATCGTAATACAAATCACTGTAAAACTCAATTTTCGAGCCAATCACATATATTTTATATATTAGATGATGAAGTTGAAGAAACTCTAAAGTTAAGGCATTTGCAACCTTACAGAATGTTAAGCAATCCGAGTTTTATGGACCTTTAAGAGAACTTTATCTCAGAAGAAGACTTTTCAAGGAGGATATTTTTCTTTTCAAACCCGTAATCGTTAGATTTTGAATACTGTAAATTGTAAGATTTAGGACTAAAAATAGAGTTTATTTAGTTAAATCTACGACTTTTAAACCGGAACATGTTTTGGTGGAGATTCCGAATGTTAATCAAATTTACATTATTACATTTCACTCTTTTCAAAATTGCACTTAATAAAGATAAAATGGTTAACAGATATATTACACGCTAATTTTAATAAATAAAATAAACCCTGAGTTAGGGAAAATAAAGGGAAAGCGGTACAAACCCATTTAATTTTTTTATGTACCGGGAATTGAACCCGTACCTCACCCACAAAATCCCGGGACGCTTACTACTAAGCTAGCAACAGATTCAAAATGTATTACTGTATACATTTAAAATGATATAATTAGTTATGCATGATGTTTGAATGATGTTTTTACATAGTTATTGAAGTGTACAGTTAAATCTTTGTAGTATAACTAATGTTATATGTTATTAACAAATGTAGATATAACTATTTTGTTACATCTACATTAAGGTAGTTGTTACAACAAATTTATACATTGACAATCAAAACTCAGTGGTATATAGGCTACATAGATACAAAACTAATGCCTACCGTGGTTGCACATAAACATTAGCCGAGGCTTACAATAAGGCGCTCTCTCCTTCTTGATGTACGGTAATGGGCTAACCCCAAATATGTGATGGTGTGCTAACAGATTGGCAAAGGAAACGTAACAAATAGTTAATGTTGTCTAACCAGTCGTTGTTCTATATTTTTAATTTATTAAGAACTAAAACAATCCTATAACAATTTATAATCACGTATACTTTTACTAAATTTAGCAACTAACTTTAGTTTTATGGAAGCAACGAGTCCTTAAGCAATGTATGTATATCACACTGCCATAATAGAGGTGTATACATTGGAATCAAATTTGCCTTAATTTTGAACTGATGCCTTAGTCAAATATTTAGGAATATTAAATACATTGATCTGCAGGAATTAAATTAACACATTTTGGGACGTAATTACCTAAGATTTTGCTATACTCCCTGGTGTGGTTTGACGTCCGCACTAGTGAGTAAGCCTACTACGACTATATGCAGTACTATCCTGATAGTTAGACCACTTCGTTAATTGCAAGGCAAAAATGTGGTTCGGATTCCACTATAAACTGTAGATACCTTAGTTGCCATTGGTTATATTATATGGGCTATTAATTATTAGCTGTGTCTAAGGAATGTCGGCCTTAGTCACTAACAAGACTACAAGATCGCGCCACTCATCCTACACTCATCTCCATTCATAATCGTCTTAAAATACCTACCTACATTCGTATGGTCGCCATTTCAGAATAAAGTGTTAGAGTAAGATGTTTTAAACGGTTCACACCATAGCAACAATGGGGCAATAGCTGGTTTTCTTGGTTCAGGGAGGGGAAAGAAGATTTTTGGTAAAATGTTAATAGTACTTTATAAAATAAATACATGTTTTCATTCTGTTTTATAAACAAGCATTATTATAGCTCTTCGAGATTGAATTTAAACCTCATAGATAACTATGCAACAACACATATCAGCTGATCAACAATGGAAATAAAACAGGTATACCAAAATATAAGGCTGTTTTGTCATTTAAATGTGCCAAACGGTGATTATAATTTTGGTTGCACCTTATAAAACCACCCTGTGTATATGTTAAACCGAAAAATACATCCGTCATCTCTTATCCAAGGAAAGTAAATCCGAGGAAAGTTTACAAAGTACTCAGAATGCAAGGAATGAAAACTGTTCTTTAGTCTTGTGTTATTGAATGTGATTCAATTGAGGATTGAATAGGATTTGTCTGATCAGACTTGAAATATTGGTCCATTGAACGAGGCTTGTAGTCCAACTGATTTATTCTAACTCAGCACTCTCTCAAATAGACTTGTAAGTTTGTGGGTTATCTCACTCACTCTAAATAGTTTAATGTAAAGATAAATTGAGTTCGATGTTGAAAGATGTCTTTATTTTCCGTCTTTATTTTGTATTACTTTCATTTGAGTTGAAATACTGTTCTTTTACCAAAATTTACTCTATAAATGTTAACTGTACGTTGACACAATCGAACCTCCAAGTGAAAAATTTGCATTGGAATCCTATAAGAGAAATCACGATTAGCAGCTTAATCAAACCTTACTGGAGACTTTTCATGACAATGAATACATAATTGTTCTTAATTGTTGTATGACGTTAAGATATTTTTCATGAACGCTTATGAGACTACACGTCTGATAAAAGAAGCTTTCATACGATTCGTGAGCCTTTAGACCATACTCAAAGCCCCTAGTTGCATTACGCATCTAAAAGTAAATCAACTACGCTATGTTGGGCTATGTTTGGTATATTTTAAATTCTATTAGGTATTTTCAAATGGAACCAAACA